GGAAGGGATCAAGCCTCCCCCCCCCCCTCCTCCAGCAGGCCCTATGCAGATGAGGAGCCGATTTCGCGTCATCACAAATTCTTGCGGTTCTTAGCTTCCAAAGGGGGGGGGGGCATGCAGGGGGAGGGCGGAAAGGGGGAGGGGGCGGGACACAGGAGGAGAGGCGGAGAAGGCCGAGGGGGAGGACCCCGAAGGAGGCAGCCTAAGCGCAAGGAGGAGTAAGCGCCGAGGGCGACCCTAGACGCCGCAGCGCGCAGGCGCCGACGTAGCATCTCCCTCGCCAAGGACCTACCTGTGAGCGTCGACGCGTTGGCCGTGAGGCTTTGGTGTCCGAGCGAGACGTAGTCGCCGCGGTGGCCGCAGCCGCGGGAGTGGAGCGTCCAGGGGCGCGCGCCGTGCTGGGGGTGGCGCCCCTTGCTCACGCGCAGGTCCGCCGCCTCCCAGCTCTCTCCTGCCGCGTCGCCCAGCGTGCCCAGGGCAGGGCACGGCGGCGAGGGGCCCCACGACGACGGCACCAACACCGTCACGTCGCGGAAACTCGCGCGGCCGCGAGTCGCCGCGAACAGCACTGCGGACGCGGCGCGGACGGAGCGCTGCGGGAGAGAGAGAGACGTTAGAGGCGAACTCAAGTCATGTCAGGCTAAAGTTTGGTCAATAACAGAACATTCTCTGAAGAGGCAGATTATTTTAATGTCAACTAGTTTCTCAAACAACAACTTTAACTGGATAGCACGGACACTGGCGGCCGGCACGTGGTGCTTCCGTCAGCCTATCCAGCAGCCAGAGGAGCTCCCGGCTGGGCAGCGTCCTCAGCCGCCACAGGAGCGAGCGAGAACCAAGAGAAAGATACGGCTGATCAGAGAGGAAATTATATGTTCGGGATTGTCTTCGGGCAGAGCGGCGCTTAAGCCTAAGCCCGTGCTCAATGTCGGGGCTTCGGGCGGGAGTGTCCGAGGTGTCCGAATGCCTGAGTAATTGTCCATCGCCCGCGGCTTCGATTCGGCTCTTGGCAGCGGACACCTGAACACTTACACGTCACAGAAAACCTGTTCGGAGAGTGAACGCGCAGCCCCAGTTGTGCTGCGGGACCCGCACTCTCGGCCCTCCTCCAAGGGCACAGCTCGACACCCTCCCTCGCGGCTCCGGGAAGGCTAATGTTTTCTAGTAATTAACATATGGAGTCATTAGGCCGCAGAGTAATCATAGCCTGGCCCGAAACCTTCGCTAATGAATAGTCAATCGTTCCCTGCCACGGGAGGTGAGGGAGGAGGAGAGAGGAGAAAGGGAGGGAGGAGGAGGAGTAGGAGGAGGAGGAGGAGAAAGGGAGGAGGGGAGGAGGGGAGGAGGAGGAGGAGGAGAAAGGGGAGGAGGAGGAGAAGAAAAGGAGGGAGGAAGAGGAAGAGGAGGAGGAGGAGGAGGAAGAGGAGAAAGAGGGAGAGGAGGAGAAGAAAAGAAAAAAAGGAAAAGGAGGAGAAGAAGAAGGCAGAGGAGGAACAGGAAAAGAAGGAGGAGGAGGAGGATCAGCAGCGCGTAAAGGCTTCCCGGACCGCGCCTCTCCTCGGCCGCCCTCGACCCTCGCCTCTTGCCTCTGCTTCAACGAAATACGATCCAATTACGCAAAAAGAGATCTCTATCGTTAATTATAAACACAATTTACTAGACAGAATAGTACTTGAACCGCCCGGGGAGGCGAGGCGAGCGAGCGGGAGCGACGGAGCCTTCCAGAGATCAGTCTCGTTCCTTTTTCCAAATGGATCGCCCGGAGCCTTGTCCCGAGCGAAGCTTCGGCGAAGCTGCTTCACCTCGTCTCCTCAGAGAGCGATCTCGACTGCATTCGATTCTGTAGGATTCCTTTCACGAAAACATTTTCTCGGATTGACGTCGTCTTTCTTTCTTTCTTTCTTTCTTCCAAGGCCATGCAGTCCCTCTCGCAGTGCCCATGGCCATGCTGTCCCTCTCGCAGTGCCCATGGCCATGCAATCCCTCTCGCAGTGCCCATGGCCATGCAGTCCCTCTCGGTGCCCCATGGCCATGCCCCATGGCCATGCAGTGCCCATGGCCATGCTGTCCCTCTCGGTGCCCCATGGCCATGCTGTCCCTCTCGGTGCCCCATGGCCATGCAGTGCCCCATGGCCATGCTGTCCCTCTCGGTGCCCCATGCCCATGGCCATGCAGTCCCTCTCGCAGTGCCCATGCTCCATGGCCATGCCCCTCTCGGTGCCCCATGGTGATGGCCATGCTCCCTCTCGCACCCATGCCATGCAGTCCCTCTCGGTGCCCCATGGCCATGCACGACCAGCCAAACGAGGCCGTTCTCCTTCACATTACCCCGGGGAGACTTTCCTAAACGCACGCTGCCCGACGCCCGCCACAAAGGGACACGGCAGATAGGATCAGAAACCATGTTTAAGGTGAGTTATGGCCGCGGTTTATTGCCCTTGTTTACCTGTCCGCCATAAATAATAAAAGCCGAAAACCATAAACATTGGGACAAAGTTCACTTACGTAAAGCCCGCGGGCCTTGACCGCCACGAAAATATGCAGAAATTATGATGGCTGACAAAAACAACATAATGGGCACACACTAACGCACATACATACATACACACGCACACACACACACACACACACACACACACATATATTATATATATATATATATATATATATATATATATATATATATATATGTGTGTGTATGTGTGTGTGTGTGTGTGTGTGTGTGTGTGTGTGTGTGTGTGTGAGGAGAGGAGACAGGGAAGAGTCATACGAAGAGGAGAGAGAGAAGATGAGAGAGGGAGAGAGGAGAGAGAGATGAGAGAGGGAAAAAGAGAGAAGAAAGAGGAGAGAGGGAAGAGTCATACGAAGATGAGAGAAGGAAGAGGAGAGAGGGAGGAGGGAGCTGCGGCAGAGGAGAGGAGAGGGGCGACGCGCGGTTCGCGAGGGGCCCTGCATAAGGGCGAGAGTCGCGTCTCCAACGGTAGCATCTCGCGGTTTAACACTTATTCTCTTTTCGTTCATCTTCGCTCAGGAAGGGATCGCTTCTCGGGCGAAGAGATATGACAAGGTACGAGGACCTGTGGCACGCTTCGGGCAGGAGGGCCGCGGGCATTTGGGAGAAGAACGAGTAGAGAAGGGAGGGATGGGAGGGATTGGAGGGAGGGAGGGAGGGAGGGAGAGAGGGGAAGGGGGGAGAGAGAGGGAGAGAGCAGAGACAAGAATTTGTGGCTTGTCAGTGACACCTGCGGCCTGACACCTGTCTGTGATACGATTGCTTTTGACACATGCTTCTAATACTCAATCCCTTGCCCCCCCCCTTCCCTCCTTCAATCCTTACCTCCTCCCTCTTGGCGTGATTTCCTGCGATACCGCAATCACACGATTCCAAAGCCGCTGTTCACCTTCTGCTCCTGGGTTTCCCCTTTCCCTCCATTTCCCTTTTCCTGAAACCATTTCCTCTGAGAATCTGTGACGATGAGCTCCAGCATGAGCGCCAGCAGGAGCGCCAGCATGAGCGCCGGCAGGAGAAGCAGAAGCGGTCGGAAATGCCGAAGGGAGCGAGCGACCACAGGAAAAGGATGAGTTGGTGCGCTGCGAGAAGCTCAAGAGTGAAGCCACTGAGAGAAGCGATCCAAGTGCTCGCGAGAGCGCCACTGGGAGCGGCAACGGAGCCCTCGTGAAGGCCGACCTCGAATGCGGTCTCGGGCGGGGGAGGGGCCGCGTGGGGCACCGCGCCCTTCGTCGCCTTCGAGATGGGTCGGCGCGCCTACGCGCCTGTCGTCCTTTGCCCGGCTGCCCCCCCCCCGTCCCCCCTTCTTCCCCAAAAACAGTCGGCATCTCCCAATTCCGCAGACAGTGGGAGAGAGGGGAGATGGGAGAAGGGGGAAGACGGCGCAGAAGGCAAGGAGAAGAGGGAAGGGGGTGAGGTACAGAGGTGACCCCGGGCGAGCTTGTTTCGGCGAGGTAATTAAACTGTAAATGGGGGTAGAGGGGGGGGGGTGATTACAGGCCCTCGCTCTGCGGAGGAATGCGTGCTCGGGCCGCGGTGGATATGTTGTTGGATGGAGGGAGAGCTCACGGGGATGGGCGCCCCCGGGAGGGCCAACGCGCATGCAGGAGCGACGGAAGGAGAGAGGACGCAAGGCCTCGTAGACTCGCCGCCTGGACGAGCTAGAGGCCGAGGAGACCGTCTTGTTTATACACTCAGGGCTTAGCGGGATTTACAAGCGCTCAGGAGGTCGGGATTTACCAGTGTAGATGGCTAAACATACAAAGCTAATCCCGGCGGATTCGCGGCCACGGGATTACACGGCCACAGACACACTGTCTTCTTATCCCGCAGGACACTACCGGTTTTCCATTTGTAATTCTACGCTTCCTTTTCTTCGGACGTGAAATGCTAAAAAATCGAAAGAGGAAATCATGTCTTAGTCCACAAGGGAAACGCCATGAAACTTTAAAGGGCCGACCTTCTTAGCGACGGGCCCAGCCTCTCGAAGGAACGGGTTGGGCGCGGAGCCGAGGCACCCCATTTATCACAGGCGCGGCCGTTAATCCCGGGCTCGGGACGGGATCATAAGCCCTTGCGGCGCACTAAATCACCACAGGCTCAGAGGACAGAAGGCGCGAGAGGCTAAAGGGAATCCGACGACGAAGGGAAGACCTCGCGAGAAACGGCAAGGGCGGACGGAGACGCACGGCTGCGTTGCGGGGAACAAGGCTTGGAAGGCAGGCACTCGAGGCAATGCTTGCGCCTGAAAGCATGGTTTCCAGTGTTGGTATGTGTGAGATAGACAGATATATAAATAGACAAATAGATAATAAGAGAAAAAGAGAAAGAGATGAAAGAGAGAGAGAGAGATAAGGAGGGAAGGAGGGAGGGAGGGAGAGAGAGAGAGAGAGAGAGAGAGAGAGAGAGAGAGAGAGAGAGAGAGAGAGAGAGAGAGAGAGAGAGAGAGAGAGAGAGAAGGGAGGGAGAGAGAGAAGAAAGAGAGAGAGAG